TTCTTATTTGGTGTTTCAATTTTGATTAATTTCTTATCAAAGACATACTTCATGTTAGTTTTTGTATTTTCCGATTGCGATTTGGTTAGTCCGGCTTTTCCGCATTCCATAAGTAGTCTGGATAATGTTTTTCTTGTTTTTTCTTCATGAAATCTTAGATTTTGTCTAACTTTATTAGTTTTCACATGTACCATCATTATGCTGTTATAATATGGTGATTATATATTTATTTATTTATTTTGGTAGCTCTTTTTATATTCTGTTCTGTATATGATATGAATAGTCCATTGCAGAAACGCTCTTCAATGTTGTACGATTGATGAGATTGGAACCTGTTGATCATAAAAGCGCAAGATTCTCATGTCAGAAACGAATTTTGTTATTTATGGTTTGATGAACGATATGGATTTGTCGGATGACTTGAAAAGTTAGAGCTTTGTAGATATTGTCTGTCATCAATATCATATCACTGGACAAAACATCTGCTGATCCTATTACTGGCCTTTAACTTCTATCTATGTTTAGTTTTGGACTTGGAAACAAAAGCGAAAATCGTTTACTAGACATCTGATGACATTATGTTATATGGGCCCGTTAATCAGCTTGTGACAATGTCATTAGCATTAGCATTTATAGTTTTAGGGTCAGTGATTGGGCATAATAATTTTAAGGAGAAGGTACTTCCTGTGAGAATCACCACAGTCATTTTTCAAGTCTTTATGTTTGATAATGGCACTATCGTGATTTTACAGTGTGGATGTTCATCCTTGAACTTTTATATTTATAAGTTTTATGGTTTTAATGGATTTCCTTACCATCAGATAACTATAGATGATGCAATTCTCATTGCAGTATTTTGTAGTTGTATGTTTCTTGCTTATGCGGTGATAGCTTTACATACACTAATGTTCCCAAATTTTCAATGAGAAATTTCAGCTAGAGGCAGTCATAGAAGCCGAGAAACAAGCTGCAAAAGATTTAGTACGTGAAAAGAAGAAAGATAGGGCATTGTTAGCATTGAAAAAGAAGAAAGTTCAAGAAGACCTCTTGAAGCAAGTTGATGGTTGGCTCATCAATGTTGAACAGCAAGTAGGTTTATGTTTAATCGAGTTTAGTTTGTATCTTTAATTACCTGATGTTTCCTCACTTGTTCCTGTATATTTTCATTCGTAGTTTCTCTTAACATTCGTACAATATCTTGTTAGTTGAGAAATTGCTTCAGTTGGCAGATGTTGAACTGGCGAGCAAGCAAAAGGCGGTGTTTGAAAGTTTGAAAGCTGGAAATAATGCAGTCAAAGCAATACAGAGTGAGATAAATTTGGATGATGTTCAAAAATTGATGGATGATACTGCCGAGGCAAAAGCTTATCAGGATGTGAGTTTTACGTGTATTGTTTGTTACAGATCTTTTTTTATGAGAAAAATTGTATAGCAAAATTTAAGTTGACTGTCGTACTTTACAAAACTTAGGTACAATGACGTGCTAAAAATACAACTACTTAAATTGGGTGAAATTTTTTATCCATATTCTATTGTCGCCATTGGTGTTTTGGATTGATTGGACAGGATTTGTCATGCAATGATTGAGAAGATTGGGATTGTAATCACTATTTTTTTTTTTTTTTTTTTTTT